ATTCATAAACTGTGTCATGCCGTAGGCAGCTTAGACAGAACTGAAAGGAAATACAAAATCAACGCTTTTTTTAATACAAAATAAGGTCATCTCCGGTATCTACTGCGGGTGCATGAAGGTGTCTTCTTGACCTTGAGTCTTTGAGTAGTCTTCAAACCTGTGAGATACGGTTATCTTTCAAGGTTGAGGTGACAGGCGATCATTTTTTCCCGGGAAATTCTCCATCACGTGAATTCCCGGGTGCTAAATTTTGGATTAACATTTTCTTTTTTCCTTCAAATTTCAGCGTGTTTGAGTTTTTTGGCCACATGCCACGACGTGAGACATCGGGTTCATGGTCCTGAATCACCAAGCTGTAGATCTACTTCACAGGTTCTCAAACATTTTCAAGCCCAGAAGCAAAGTGGCACTAGAATCCGAATTATTATTTTTTTTAAAATCTCTTATAATTGGGTAAATAAAAAACACAATCCAAATAGATTTTTCAGCATAATATAATTCAATATATTATAATAAGACCTCTGTAATAATAATAATAATAATAATAGCTTGTTATTTATTGCTAGGCCCAGCAGGGGGAAGATTAAATAAGTAGTAGAAAGTGACCAATCTCTTAACTAGCCTAGTAATCTCTTTTATTCGTTGAACGAATTTACGAAACTAATCAATTAATAAAATCCATTCTTTATGGTTTTCTTAAGATAAATCAAATATTTTGAACAGGATTAATATTATCCAAGGAAAAGAGACCTTCACTTTATCCAGGGAAGATATTTAACAGACTAAATAAAAACGATGAATTTACGAAACTCGGAATACAATCCTCTGCAGTTCACTACCGCCCTTTATTATCCCATACTATCCACCGATAAGTACTCTTCAACTGATATCCACAAGACTCCAATTCACTGTAACTGGCACCCACAGCTTATCTTCATCTATCCCCTTATATCTATTTCTATCCATTAAACTTTGTTAACGTCCAGTGCCTATATTTTAAAGATAGCATATCTGTGCACAGTTCCATAGAAGTATCTAAGGTGGTGCTTGGGCTCTGTTTAGACGACCTAATTGCCTTTTTAGTCAGAACAAGCCCAAAAGATGCAGAGGCCCATGATAAATATAATATTATAAATAATATGTTAAATAAATAAATAAAACATGCATAATTATCAACAAACTATTATGATAATGCCCTCCAGCACAAACCATATTATATATATATATATATATATATATATATATATATATATATATATATATATATATATATATATATATAAAAATTTATATATATTATATATATATATATATATATATATATATATATATATATATATATATATATAATTATACTTAAAAGTTACTATATACAAAAGTTCATTTACTTGAAAAATACGAAAAAGTGGTACATTTTTGAATGACATGTAGTTTTATACAATAAAACTCACTTACGTAAACTGGCCTGATGAAAATACGATCATCTCACTGTAACCTTGTAACGAGTATTAAGCCTTTACACACCCCATCTGTCTTCATATCAATGTTTGATTAAGACATAAGACAGAGATCAACAGCGGTTCTTAACTTCTTAGGACATGAGCAACACTTGAAGACCTTCAGGGAACGCTAACCATTTTTACCCCTCCTATTGATAAAACCCGCTTCTAAAAATAGTAACGCAGTGCGTTCATGTTTTGTGGGTACAACTTTTTACAAAATACATAAATTATAAAACGATTCATTATATTTTAAAAATTGCTATACCAAATAGGTGACTTGCCATGGAGGATTCATTTTCTATTCCTCTTTTTAACACAGAGCCAAAAATATATGGCCGAGCGGTCTAAACTGTCTCTAACCAAATAGTTGGTGGTCTGGAGTTCAATCCCCACCAAAGCCAACATCCCAAGTACCCCGGGTGGATGAGACTTGTCAGCCCTGGGCGGCAACCCATCTAAGAGAAGACAAACTCTGAATTTAAACCAGGAGCCACAATGATCAACACATTGATCGTGGGCCCCTCAAATATAAGAAGAAGAAGATATATTATTTTATTAGCGGTCTTGGTTTTCAGACATTTTCCTATGGTTATTTTGGGGCACCGATATTCGAAATTTCAGCTAAGCATCTGTTCTGGTTTCTTCGATATTTTGTTGAATAAAAAAAATAGATTTTGCTCATTAAAATATATTTTATATTCAGACTAGTGACGTTATAAAAAGCTTTCTTGGGGGAATGGGAACTGTAAGCCACCAGAATGGAAGAAATCCACAGGAACATCGTTTTGTTCTGTAGACTGAGAGTTTCATAACAACATCAATGTTTGATTTGTGTAACATCCACAGGTGGCTTATTTTAAGGTCCACCAAGAGGATGTAGAGAGTATCTTAAAAAAAAATAAAAATTGAAAATCCTTTAAATTAACTTCGCTTTTGTTCGCGTGTTTCGATCTGGGATTGTGACCATATCTTCCGATGGCTTATTGACCCACTTCCTGCCATTTATTTATTTAGGCATTTTTATTTAGCGCTTACCTTAAAGCTCTAAGCGCTTTACAATTATTAAAAACATGTAAACTAAGTAAAATAAAAATGAGACACTAGGATAGTAACTACTATTCTATAGAAACAATTAAAATGGCTATAAAACGAGGACACTTTGGCACGCTGCCAACACTAGGCTGGTCACCATTGGAGGAACGACGACGAAAATCCAGGCTCTCCATGATGTACAAGATAAATAATGGGCTGGTCAACTTCTCCGCAGCATAAAAAAGAAACTCGTCCCTCTCCCCCATAGACAGCGACGAGGCCATGACAGGCAGTTCCGGCTCACACCAGCGAGAAGCCAGTATAGGAATTGCTCATTCCTGCCCAAGACAATCAGGGACTGGAGCAAACTTCCAAAAGAAACAGTTGAGGCGACAACACTAGACACATTTGCGTCTATTGCCTTAGGCCTTCAAACCCCAAGTCTATGATACCCGCACTAAGTAGCCCTTGCAACCAGTGAACTACGTTCATCAACACCAGGTACAGAAACATTGCAAATCCCTTCTACATGCATAGGAGCCAGAATGATCAATATACTGATCGTCGGCCCTTAATATATTCAAGAAAAAGAAGTGCATGACATGAACGCATATTTTGTCAAATTTTCTCTCCTTCCAAATGTTCTTTTCTTATTTTTGTTTTTATTCCGCGATTAAAATAAGTCCATTTCTCTGTATCTCCAAATCTGTAGTAGGTAGGGGGGACAGCGAGTGACAGTTTTGGAATCAGCGGGTCAAATACAGCAAGGGTCAAGTCTAACAGCTGAGCCATCTTATTGTGTGGTTATCCACAAAACTAAGACGGTGTGATTAACGCTAATCAGTTGAGATGAAGTAGGCGAGCTCTTGCTTGTTATCAATGCTATTTTTTTAAAAAAGTTGTTACAACTATCAGTGGTTCCTAGACTGTAACTTGAAGTATCAACTTACATTTAAATTCAACTCGTTTTTTTTTTCTGTTATCCACACACACAAAATGTATCGTATAATTTACAAGTCTCAAACTATGATTAACATGTGACATGTGTAGTTCGTAATTTAAAAACGAAACTTAACACTCATATAAATTAAATAAGGCCAAAAAATTAGTTGTAAAAAGTCTGACTTTATATTTTCTTTAATTATCACCCACTAACTACAATAGGATCAAGAATATCGTGGTTAAATTTAAAACCAAACAGACGATCCTGCCTTTCTTATTGAGCACAACCATCAGAGCAGTACACGATGTTTAAAAATGGCTCAACCACTTTCATTTTCCAGGAAAATTATGCCCTAGCTTTTCTAGTTACTGTCTGATTGTGGGAAAATGATTTGAGATTTTTATTTTTCTCCGAATCAAACCGAAGAGAGGTCCATTGTCTAGTCAGAAAATATTGATAGAGGTAATGACAGATGTTGATGACGCACGGATTGTCTATCCTGGAGTTTTTGTTCGAAAATGTGGCTTGTTTAAATTGACGAAAATAACCAGAACACGTTAAAAGCGTCCAGGACTTTGGACTATGCCATTTGGTGTCTTCAAGATTGTAACATACTGTAACTTTTTAGTATGTCGGTTATGAGTTATGGTATATAAGCTATGAGTTAACAAGACATGAGCTATGTATTATGAGACATCCTATGAGTTATGAGTTATTTGTTAAGAGATATGAGATATAAGAAATGAGTTATGAGTTATGAATTATGAGTTAAGAGTTAAGGGTTATGAGACTTGAGTTATGAGATATGAGACATTCGTTATTATTTATGAGGTATGAGCTATGAGTTATAAGTTATGAGGCATGAGACATTAGTTATTATTTATGGGATATGAGTTATGTGAAATGAGATATAAGTTTATGTCTGTGTACACATAAAAAGTACATCAAAAAATCAAAATTAGGTCCCACTTTTACATAGGTAGAAATATTTCACATTTTAAATGTTGAAATATTTCACATTTTAAAGGTAGAAATATTTCAAATTTTAAAGGTAGAAATATTTCAAACTTTAAAGGTAGAAATATTTCAAACTTTAAAGGTAGAAATATTTCAAATTTTAAAGGTAGAAATATTTCAAATTTTAAAGGTAGAAATATTACACATTTTAAAGGTAGAAATATGTCACATTTTGAAGGAAGAAATATTTCACATTTTAAAGGTAGAAATATTTAACATTTTAAATGTTGAAATATTTCACATTTTAAAGGTAGAAATATTTCAAATTTTAAAGGTAGAAATATTTTACATGTAAAAGGTATTACTATGTCACATTTTGAAGGTAGAAATATTTCACATTTTAAAGGTAGAAATATTTCACATTGTAAAGATCGAAATATTTCAAATTTCTGATTTAAAAAAACATCAAATAATTAACTAGGAAGCCTTTATTTTTTCTTTCTTTAATTGCTGATCAAAAGTTTTGTGTTATAGAATAAGCATTTAAAAATATACGTACATACATTGGCAGTAATCATTACAATCGATCATTGTGTTATGGTCAGCACCTACACAGCACATTTTGTGATAATGTTAAATCAGTAATCATCTGTCTATGACGCAATGTATCGCCATGCAGCAAATAAGATCACCGAAGAGAAGTCACCGTTCAGTGAAACAACTTTCAAATCATCATGTGCCCCATTTACTTAAAATTTTAAAAATTCATAAAGTTGACTAAAATATTTTTTTTACAGCAACTAAACTCTTTTAAATCATAATCACCTGTGCTAACGCCATCAAAGTTATGGTGACCATTTTTTTTCTTCGGACGGTACTGGTTATTTTGGACCTTTGACCTGGTTTGTCGTCTGCTAAAACCTGGACAGTTTAATTCTGCAAACCTAACAACACAATAATACAGGTTTTAATTGATTAAAAGATGTTGCACATCACATCTGACCAGGACTGCCATTCAATTTTTTTAATTCTCAAGATTTGGTCAAAACATTTCCCAAGATTTCCCAAGATCATGAAAATATATAAGATTATTTTTAAAGGATCTTGTGAATTTTTTTTTAAAAAGTGAGTTTTGGCCCTGAATGGGGTAGTGAATTCCCAAGATCTTGATAAATTTCCCAGGGTGTGGCAGCCCTGCATCTGATATTCAAGCTTAAATAAAGGACACGGCTACAAGAAACAAAATTAATCCAAGTCTTCATAATTCGAAACGAACCACCCCATACAGACGGAATAACTCTCAGTGGAATCACACACACACACACACAAGTAACGCAACAATTTAAAATTTCCCGGCTTTGAAATTTTGGGGAAAAAATGGGGTGCCTTACACAAAGTGCACAGCATGAGCCTTCAGCGGGCGCCACACTTTGTGGCACATCGCCAGCCATGACGTCATCCCCCGGTAGACGAGGACAGAAGTGGAAGAAATCATTTAAAGATTCTGTGGCAGTTCTGAAGGACCTTTAAACCTGCGTTTGTAAAAAGCACACATAAACCGGGAGGAAATGACACAGCTCAGAGAGCTCTTTCTTGTGTGGAGTTTTGGTTAAAAGAAACAAAACCAAATATCGACTGAAGTCATGTGGAAATAAAATATGACTGAGGTACTCATTTCATTATGGAGCTGATGGTTTGTTGGTTGTATCACTTGTGATACGATGTCACGCGTCTTGTCATGGTGTCACGCGTCATGGTACGAAGTCACTGGTCATGTCATGACGTCACTTGTCGGCATGACGTCACTTGTCGGCATGACGTCACTTGTCGGCATGACGTCACTTGTCGGCATGACGTCACTTGTCTTTGTTATGAGATGTATGACATGCTATGATGTTTTTGTTGATGTTACTTGTCATAAAAGGATGCCACTTGTTATAGTGCGAAGCCACTTGTCATGTCATGATGTCACTTGTCATGTCATAATGTCACTTATCATGGCAGGATGTCACTTGTCATTTTATCGTTTCGCTCGTCGGATTATGAAGGAAATGTCTTGTTCTGACATCTTTTGTCATGTCATGACGTCATGCTGTCTGGTTTTCTTGGCCACATGTCTGTGAACCTTCAATGGTGTCAAACAAAGCTTCACAGGTCAACCCACTTTTTATCTGAAGAGTACCACACGTGGAAAAATTCTGTGTACGGCAGTAGATCTTTTTTTCTTAGAGTATCCGACAGTCGTCGTTCGACCTTCGCCTTTGTTGATACACCATGGACGCAGCAAGGGCAGCTTGGGCAGCTTGCTGTTGAACTTCTGCGAAACGCTCTCGCGCCTGCCTCTCTTCTTCGAGCCTCGCTGCTTCCGCCCGCATCGCCGCGTCTTCCAGTTCCTTCAACTTCAGCGCCTGCAGCGCCCGCTCAATCTCCAACGCGGCATTGTGTAATCGAATTCGCTCTTCTTCTTCCATTTGCCTTTGGACTGCTTGCATGTCAGCATGGATGCGCTGATGGACCGCCTCGACGGACTTTTTGATCTTGGAGAGCACACCAGTTCCTTTGTCTTGTTGATCGACGGAAGAAGCCAACGACTGCGCGGTCGATAACAAGACTTTCAAATCCTGAAGCCGTTCGTGCAGTGGGGAGGTGCTAATCGATGCTATTCTTTGATTGATTTTCAATATTTCGGTGTTCGTGTTTTCACGAATGGAGGGCATATTCAATTCCACGATATATCGTTCTCGCGAATTTTTTGCATCGTCAAAATCGATACCCGTGTAACGAATACACTGCAGCTCTCCAATCAGCGAGATCAGCTCATTCAACTTCGTCCCTTGCTTGCGTTTATCCCTATTGTCAAACAGTACCACTCGACCTCCGCAATCTTGCATCAGTTGTGACAGTTCCCCCACCTGCTCGCTACACCAGTCCTTAAAACATTTCCCCGATTCCTCTGGATCCATTTCAAAAATGTCTCCGCACGTGAACACCAAGATGCAAAATTCCCTGACGAACCTCTCCCCCAGGGCTTTCTTCAGCAATGCAACACTCGTGGAATCCTCCTCGGTGAAACGGGTCCCGTATCTCTGCACCAGAAGCACTGCGTGGAAACCCTCCGGGGACTGCTGCAGTGCCAAAGCCAAATTCCCGGAAACTATGCCCATGGCGTCGTCAACTTTCGATCTCGTGTCGGCGAGTCCGGGAATTTCCACCACTTGAATGACGTGATCGTTGAATGTAGCCCTCTGTGACTGGACGTTGGAGGTGACCGATGTGGTGCTGGATGTGGAGTCGAAGGCTTTGAAGCCGAGGATCGTGTTGGCGGTGGCGCTCTTGCCATTTCCGGTTTTGCCAAGAAGGAGGAGGTTGAGATCTCTCGAAACCTAAAAGTAAAACAGCAATAATGTTTGGGTACTTGCGTCACGCGTTGGACCACTTTAATAATATAAACGTTTTATTCAACCGAGCAAACCGAAACTATGATATACCATTCCAATTCGCGCTACTACGCATTCCTGCCCATATAACACAATATTGCAACAGCTTGGCCAGAAAGCTGTGCCAAGGAGTGATAGGTGCAACACCATGCTGTTCGTTTAAAAAAAAAAAAAGAATCTGATTAACAATACAAACTACAAACCAAACACACAACAACAAAAACAAGTAATCCCACTTTGGATATTAAAAAAAAAATTACTTATCCCATTGGAGATGCAAAAATTACTTTTCCCACTTTAGATAAACAAAATTACGTTTCCCATATTAGATATAAAATTACTTTTCCCACTTAGGATAACAAAAAAATTCCTTTCCCTACTTTAGATTTTTTTAAAATACTTTTTTTTTTCCATTTAAGATTTTTGGAAAAATTACTTTCCCAACTGTAGATTCATTTTAAAATGAGATAGTTAATCGATTCAAGGTGCACACCGGTGCATCCGGCGGTGTGCAGGGCAGACGTCGTAACCTCGTCTTATGGTGTTCAATACAATCAGGGTGGTAGCTTACCATGACTTTTCACCGTTCCTAGAAGACGCCGCCAATCAGAACTCTTGCCTTGTAACTGCGGATAATCTGGAATGAAACATTTCCCGGTGTTCACAGAGTGCTTTTGCATTCAACATAAAAATGATTTGTGCACAAAGTAACCGAGTTCAAAGACTAAACTAAAGATCCCAAAACGAATCCATTGAAAGTAAAATACATCAATCAGTCGTTGTTTTTGCTTAGTTGTATACACGTGCGTTAAGATGCCCCCCCCCCCGTAGTTCAATCTGAGCACCAATATGTCTGAGCGTATCCGGAAGTTTGATCGAAAGACATTTCATCGACGGTAAATTGATCGACTGTAATTTGATCGAACGGAAATTCGGTCGAATCTTTAAAAAAAAAGTTTTTACGTTAAAATTTTGATTCAAATCTCCTTTTGAACGCATTATTTTGTTTTACTATATTGTATAGTGTGTTCAAAAAGAAATTTGACGAACATTTTAACGTGAGAACTGAAAAAAAAAAATATTCGACCAAATTTCCGTTCGATCAAATTTCCGTCGGTCAATTTACCGTCGACGAAATTTCTTTCAATCAAATTTCCGGTAACCATGTCCGAGAGATTGAAACTTTTGTTAAAATTAGCTCAAAGAGACCAACGGCAATAAAAGATATTGACAAAGATGAAGCTGAGTTAAATACAAAACTTGGTAAAATATTAAGGATATCAACACTAATGTTTTAAACGAATAGACTACAAATATAACTCTATATAGCAATAGCTCTCTATAAAAATAACTCCGTATAAAATAACTTTATATAAGAATAACTCTATATAACAATAACTATATCACACAATAACTCTATATAGCACAATAACTCTATATAACACAATAATTCTACATAACACAAGAACTGTATACAAGAATGACTCTATTTAAAAATAATTCTATATAATATTAACTCTAAATAAGAATAACTCTAAATAAGAATAACTCTATATAACAATAACTCTATATAACAATAACTCAATATAACGATCTCTGCCTAACTATAGGAGCTAATTCTACCCACGGTGAAAATCTATCTCAACAATTAAAAAAAATTAAAATAAAATAAAATAATAAAAAACTTAAGTGTTGCCAGTAATATAGGAAACGCTTCATAAAATAAACTCACATTTTTATCACTAGAACAACGTGATGTTTTGAAGACAAGTGATTTAGTGAAGTCGGAGACCCCAAGACTTAATACTTTCAAATTCACATGAACCCGGATACAAGAAGTCTCATGACGTGTGAGCTTTTCGGCTCAAAGAAACGGGCTTTCCCGAAAAGTAGCACGGCCAGTACCGTTTGGTAACTTTGATAGTAACAAAAGTGATGAGTAGTCCCTAACTTAAGATACCGCTATGACACCCCCACCTCAATACACTGATCGAGGATTTTCCTGGTTGGGGTGGAAAAAAAGGGGGGGGGGGAGTTTTACAAGTAGAAAAAAGGTGTTACTTTAAAAAAAAAATAAAAAATAAATAAATTTACAAAAATATAAAACTACGTACGTAAGTTTTCAAACA